TTGCTCCACGCTGCTGATGGCATGCTGCCACCTTGGCTTTCCTTTCCTCAGTCCACAGACCCTGCGCTGCCCATACGGCTCTTCTGGAGACGTGGCAATCCCGGCTGCCAGCAGGCAGCATCTTCCTCCCGCTCAGCCTAACTTAAAGTCAGCTGAGAAACGTGCAGGTGTGTGTGGCTCCTGGAGTGTCCCCTACTCAGACCCAGCCAGGGCATCCATCCCTTCTCCCTCCTTTTGTTTCTGGGGATCGTGGGGCACCTCTTGGTGGGTGAGGGGGTGACAGACATGCCCTGTCTCCTGGCCCAGAGCTGTCGTACCCCTGTCCATTGTGAAATGGCTGCATGTAGCAGCCGAAGCCAGTTCGGGGTTTGCTGTCGGAGCAGCGAGTGGGATCTTGGCAGGACAGGTGGCTGGCAGAGGGACCGTGCGGGACCACGGCAGATGCCAAAACCTGCTTCCCTGCTCGCCATCCCCTTTCCCAGTAGGGCTGCAGACATTTCATGCCAAAAGCAGCAGTCAGCCAGGGCCCCCGTTCCTGACCTGGCCTACAAGCAAAAGGCCTCTTTGGTCTGCGGGGACCCAAAATAGACCATGTATTTCTGTCCCGGCTGCCGGGCACAGCTGACATGTGGAGGATGGAGCCAACCTCAACCTACCACAGGCTTGGCCGTGGTTGGCCCCGGCATGTCCGTTCCAGCTTCTGCCCAGGGGGGCTGCTGGTCAGCAGGGAGGAATTGCCCCTCCAAAATTTGGGAGCTGGGGAGATAGTGATGCCAGGGGACAACTGTGTTGGTTTTGCCCTGATTTCACTCCTCCACCCCCCGCCCCATTTCCCAGTAAATTGGTAGCAGCTGTGCAGCCTGGACCAGCTGCTGAAAAATTGCTGAGCAGGGGCAAAATGAGCTCTTCCCCCGTGCCAACCCCCCGGCACAGGGCTGGCAGCTGCTGTGGCCCCTCCATCGAGTCCTCTGGGTGCAGGGACAAGGCTGGGTCCGTCCAGCCCCGGGGATGCTCTCCCACCTGCCTGGGGAGCAGCACAGCCCAGGGGCCTGTGTTTCACCAGCTGGAGGTCCTGCCTGCCTGCTGCCAGCTCTGCACCATGCTCCCTATGGAAAGGAGCCAGAGCTGGGAGGATGGGGCCTCTCCCCCAGGAGGAGAATGTACCCCAGGGTGTGGGAGGTGCCTGGGTGGCAGTGGGCAGAGGGGTGCTGTGGGCAGCTTCTCCTGCCCTCCATCTCCTGGGCACGGAGTTTTGCTCCAGATGCAGCTGTGCTTTGGGGATTGAGTGAGCAAGTCCTGGGCTCTTGGGCTCTCCTGGGGGAGAGCAGCCCCCATAAAGCGCACAGTGGCATCTGGGGTGGGGGAGCGTGTTTGGGGTTGAGCTGAGCCCCCCAAGCCTCCTCCGCCGGGGGCTCCATGCATAGCGGGGGCCTCATGCATAGCTTGGGAAAGGATTTAGAGAGGCTTTTGAACTTTCCAATGATTTCACAGCCCTCCATGCTTTGCCCCTCATTGCAGGGCTGTTTTGAGAACCTCTTGGCTGCAGCGTAAGTCATTCCCATCCTTCTCCCCTCGCCACAGGTTGTTCCTTGCTCAGTTCCTTTGTGTCATTCCTGGCCTTACTCCTTCCTGGGTCTGCCAGCTCTCAGCTCAGTTCTGGGGCCAGGAACATGAAGCAATGAAGGAGGAATCCTCTGCCCTCTCCATCCCAGCACCCTGGGGGACACCGATGGCAGGTGGCCTCCTGCTGTCCTGCTCTTCCCTCCGTTACCGCTTCCTGAACGGTGACCTTGAGGTAGCCACGTGCTGCTGGTAGGCACAGCAGGCTATGGAGAAACTCATCTTGCCCCTCTCCTTCATTCCTTGTCTGTGGGACTCTCTCACAGCCTGGCCTGCCTGGGCTTCTTCCCATGCGTTCACCAAGTCCTTATCTTCAGACTTATTGGCCAAGGGCTGTTTTGGTCTCCTCTCATCTTGCTGTGAGCTTCCTCTTTAGAGATCTCACCTTCACTCCTTTCAGCTGCAGACATGAGGGGAAAATGGGGACATGGTCCTATAGGCTCAGCCCATCCCTCCAACGTGCTGCCACGGCTGTCCAAGGTGCGGCCAGACGAGATATTATCTGTACAGGTGGGGATTCCTCTTGAGCAAGCCCGAGCGTGACTTGGGGGGGAAGCTGCTAAAGCCAGAAGAGATGCATCTGGCAGCCGTGCCCTAGGGGAGTCTTACCTAACGAAGCCCCAACCCAGCAGGGAGCATCCTTCTTCCCACCCAGCTGAGGAGTGGGTGGAGATGAGGAGTGTCACCTGCCTGCAGGAGAGCTGGACTGTGGGCAGGCAGGAGCCAGCACTGTGCCTTGCGCTCTGGCATGGCCGGGGTTGCCTCTGTCCTCCGTGCATGGCTGTCCTGGTACGTGGTGGCCTGTACCACCAGTGCACTAAGCACCAGGCTCCTCTGTGCAAGGAGGACTTGCTCCTGACTCAGGGCTACCTCTGGCTGCTGCTTATCCTCCCAGCTCATTTTCACATTAATGGTGTCCGGTCACTCTCCCCAGGGGTCCTGTAGGGTTTTCTCCGTTGGGAAGCGGAAACGTGGCTTCCTCTCATTGTGCCTCTTCCCGCTGCAGCCCCATGGCCGACCCCAGGGGAGCACCCCTTCCCGCAGCACCCCCCTCCCCATGACCCCCGGGCAAAGCCAGGCAGCTCCTCCGCCAGCCACGCTGGCATCCCTGGGGGGCTTAGACCAGTCCTGCGGACATGGGCTGCAGGGGGATGCCAGCTGCAGAGGATGCCAGGTGGGGATGAAGATCTGGGGGGAGAGACATCCCGAACCCATGGCAGTCCCACAGGAAGCCATGGCTAGTGGCATTAGCTTGATGGGAGCCTCTGTGCCTGCCCGTAGTGGGTCATTCCTCACCCCTGCACCCCCAGCAGCCCCAGAAGCTGCCCGAAGGTGGTTTCTCTCTGGTTTTGGAGGTTTCTGCAGCTGCACTGAGTGGAGCCCTGAGCAAATCCCTCCCTCTGCCCTTGGGAGAAAAAGGTCTTTATTTTTCTAAAATTCCAACCAATGGAGCCTGAACCTAGCCCTCCTTCCCCAGCCTGCCGAGAACCAGGTCAGGGTTGTGGCTTGGAGGGGATGGTCTATTCCCCTGGGGACAGCGTCCTGAGTGGGTGCCATCAGGGAAAACAGCTTCTTGGAACGGCCCCTATGAATCCTCTCTCTGCAAACAAGCTCCCGAGCACAGCTTATCTCTCCTCCTCTGACAGCTCCTCAGAAATGACGTACCCACCTTTAATCCTGCCCCCCCCAGGCACTGTATCTCCTCCTGCACCCCTGAACCACCGGCCTTGGAGCAGGTGATTGCTCCAATATTTGCAGAGCTTTTCCTGCCTCTCCCAAGGCTGTGCGTTCCCTGCAGTCCTGTGGCCTGAAGTGACCAGGAGCGAGGGTCTGGGACCAACCAAGCTGGTAAGCTTCTTGCTGTGACATTAAAATGTCCCCCCATCGCTGGCAATGTCCTGGCTGGGTGGCACAACGTTTGATGGGATGCGGAGCAGGAGCACCCGTCTCCTCTGTGGGGTGTTACTGGGTGGCTGGAGGGGCTTTCTCTGGCTGGGGACCAGGAGTGCCTGGGCTTGGGCACTTGCCGTGTGCTGAGGAGAGAGGTGTGTGCACTCATCATGGGGCTGCCATCACCAGGCCCCCCTTGTTGGTATTTGGCCAGCGATATGGCCCAGAAATACAGGGTTGGAAACCCACTGGGCAGCCCCGGTGGGGACTGGGTGATGGGTGGAGAGTCCCAGCTGCATTGCCTAGTGGGGTTGGGTGCCTGGCTCTGCCCCGTCGCTGCCTGCTCCCCTCTCCCTGCCAGGAAGCCCTTCAGGGGCAGCGCTGGAGTCCCACCGGGTTGGGGGACTCCCCAAAATTCTGGGGGATTTGCTGCCCAGCCGGGTTGCTTTACCTGCCAGGGCTGAGGGCCCCCGGGGAGCCTCTCGGGGCTCCTTGAACTCTCCAGATAAGGGGCGTTGCAGTTGGCTGGTGTGCGCAGTTCAAAACACCCGGCAGGGCTGACTGCCCCCCCGCGCCTCCCCACGCCACCCGGCAGCCGAGATAAGGCCGGCGCTGGGAGCGGGGACAGCTCCGTACTGCTCTGCAGGGACTTGGTGTGCTGGCTCCGAGCGCTGCAAGGCTGAAGGCAGAGAGGGACCAGAGCTGCATCCTTTTGCCCACGGAGGGAGGAAGGTGAAGCAGGTCAGAAATACTGCCCAGGGACCTTGCTGCATGGGCTGCCTTGCAGGTTTTTTCTGCTGGCCAGGCCGTTGTGGTGCAGGGGTGTTTGTCTGCAAGGCAAGGTGGGGAGCAGAAATGCCCCCATCCCACCCTCTTGCCAACCTCCCTCCTCAGGATGCAGGAATCAGCAGACGGGGAGCGGATGGTGCAGCAAAGCTTGTTTGCAGAGGCAGGGCTCGGAAAGGAGAAGAAGAAGAATAGGAAGTGCTGACGGCTCTCTGATAGAAACTGCTCGCGAAGCACTTCAGGAGTAGGAAGCCTGCTGCAGCCCTTTGGAGGGAGGGGGGACTGGGGGAAAAGAGGCCATAGCAGAAGAGCCAGGTGAAGATTTTGCCTCTCTGTCCACTCCAGAAGAGCCTGAGCAGTTTCTTCCACCTTCTTTTGTGAGGCTCCTCAGGGCGACTGCAGAGGAAAGGTTAGAAAGCAAAGCTAGACAGCAACAAGTCACGAGGGCAAGGCGATCCTCACCAGAAGGAAAGGGAGGGTGAACCGTCTGGCTGTCACATGTGGTCTCTGGTCATTCATTCAGGACCGCGCTGGCCCCCGGGGACTGGGAGGGGGGAATGATGTGACGCTGGTTTCTAAGAAGGGCTGGAAGGAACTTCATGGAAAAGCTGACTGGTGAATCTGCTGCATTGCCCCGGCGCCTGCGCAGGGACAGGGTCTGTGGGCAGGGGTTAGGCTCCTGCCGGGGAGCCCCTGAGCTGGGGCAGCATTTTGTTGGGACCCTGGACTTGGGGCACATATGCCACTTTCCAAAAGACATTAAAGCAGGGCTTTCAGCCCAGGCTTGTCAGGAGGGAAGGTCCTTGAGTAGCTCCATAATTGGTACAAAAACAGGAAGGAGGGTGTAGGAGTCAGCGGTCAGTTTTTGTGGTGGAAAGAGATCGCTGTGTTGGGTCCCATGTTTTTTTCAACATGTTTGTGAGCAACCTGGAATAGGGAATGAGCAATGAGATGACAGGGCTTGCCGAGACGATTGGATTACTCAAGTTCATGGGGACAAGTGCCAGCTAGGAAGAGTACAGAAGACCATTACAACACCGGCTGTTAGGCAGATGAAATTCAGTTTAGATAAAAATCAAGTTGTTGATAGTGGGAAGGAAAGCCCCAAATCCACAAACAAGATTACACACTGAGCTGGCCACTCGCAGCAATGCCTGGGGCTATTTTGGATATTTCGTGCTTAAAAAACACGTCCAATCATCTTTGTGAGTGAGAAAGCAGAAACAAAGCAAGAAAGCCTTTTGCAGCTCTCCAAATTGGCGTCTCACCCCCTCACAGTCCCTGTGTGCCCCCAGCCCCAGCATCTCTGGAAGGGTTGAGGGGAGCTGGGGAAGGTCGGGAGGAAAGCAACAAGGAGGACCGAAGGCGTGGAGCTGTGCCTGGATGACTAAGTGAGCTAGAATTTCTCTGTTTAGAAAATGTGCTGTAGGGTGGATACGATTCGGGCCTGTAAAGCTGTGGCTGGCATGAAGAAGCCTCTCCAATGTTCATCCACCCTTTGATGGTGAGGGTGAGGGCCCTGCTCAAGGCCCTGCATGCAGGGAGAGATGCTGCCCTCGCTCATGGGCTCCCGAGTTTGGGGGCGGGGGGGGAAGCAGGGATTTCACAGAAGCGAAACCTGCTGTGGGCTACAAAACAAATGAACAGCATATCCCTCCTGGCTGGGAGGCTGGGAGAGCAGTCAGGGAGTTAGTCTATGCCTGTGCCACTCTTACCCTCTCTTGGCACCTGCTTTTGCCCTCTGATGGGGACAAGCTTTTGAGCCAGACCGGCCTCTGATTTGACCCAGCTTACCTGCCCTTATTTTGGGAGGGCTTACGTCTGTTGCAGCACTGCAGTGATGGTGCACAATCACGCACACTCATACGTCTTGTGAAATACAAGCACATGTCCCCGCAGCTGGTGGCTGAAGGTGGAAGCAGGCAGGACGCTGCCCGGGAGGCTGGTTCCCTGGACCCTGGCAAAAGGTAGGAGGACCCGTGAGCGACATGGCTAGAGTTCAGGCACGCATACGAAATCTCATGAAACAGGCGGTCTCGGAGCATTTCCCATCCTCCAGCTGAGTCACGGCCACCAGGGCTTCATGTGACTTGCACACCCGTGCTGGGCTTGTTCCCTGTCTGCAGGTAAACCTTGATGGGCCCCCAGATCAGCCTTCCTGCCGGGAGGGCTCCGGTGTCACTCAGGGGGGCAAGCGGATGTAGGGGATGGGGTGAAGCCCGGGGAGGCATCTGGCCCTGCCCGGTCTTGGCCACTCTTGGATGAAGTGCTGACCTTATCCCTGCAAAGCGATCCCCTACAGGAGGTGGCAGGAGGACGTGTGGCACTCACCATCGGGCCTGACAGCAGCTCCTTGTCTAGGGACTGCGAGGACGGTGCTACACCAGCTATGGTGTAAAGGACTTTTCTTTAAAGAGCTGGTGTGTCTGGGTGTAAACCCATGGAATCCCCGCCCAGCACCGTGAAATTGCTCTTGAGTGGAATTGAGGTGCTGTGCTCACCTGTGGTGCAGGCAGGAGGAAAGGTGACGTGTGGGAAGGGAGACACGGGGAAATCTCTGAAGCCCGGTGACAGATGGCTGCCTGCAGGTGTGGCTGTCCTGCAGTGCCAGTTTTTCTGCGGAGGTTAGGAGGTTTGGAGGAGGGCTGGCCCTGCCGTGGGCCCCCAGGGCTGGGCTGGCAGTGGGACTGCGCGTGGCCCGATACCACAGGTGTCACTTGGTGTCTTTGAAGGCCTTTGTGCTGCACAAACGGGCAATTAAAATTGTGCCATCTCCTGTTTGTACCTGCTCAGAGGCTCTAGCCTGTGGTTTGTTAAAACCCCTCCTTGTTATCTTACTCCTTCTGCTTACACACCGCATCCGAGGGGATGAGACAGACCGCCCTAGGAACAAAATGGATGTCCTTAATGCCAAGGTCCTGCACTGCTCCTCCTTTCCCCTGTTACGCAGACCATGCGGCCACCAAGCTGGTGGCCCAGGTAAACATCAGGAGGCTCCTCCAGGAGGTGAAGGGTGGCCTCTGTCCCCCAGTCCCTCAGTGTAGGGCTGTTCTCACGGTGTGGGAGCAGGGTTGCCACCTGTTGCTGGCGTTGGTTGGTTCGTGTGACCTTTCCTGTTTGTTGTAGGGCTGTTTGTAGGAGCCGGCGGCTGGATGTGTTCCCTGCCGTAATGAGTGCTGACCCCTGCGCCCCTTGGCAGGCACCAGCTCTTTGTGGAAAAAATTAGGAGGCACTTAGGGAAGTGAGACAGAAAACAAACAGAGCAGGCAGGAGGCTGCGGCCGGGCAGTGCCTGCCGAGGAGGTCGGGTTCCTGGCGCAGGGATGTGGGCGCTCTTCAGACGGAAGCAGGAGGCAGCTGGGAAAACAACGTGGCAGAGCAGTGCACAGTGCCCTGCCCTGGCACCCCCCC